TACACCGTGCGCGCTGAAGGGCTGGAAATAAGAGGTTTAGAAATAATCAGTTGTGAGATGAAAACAGTTGCAGATTTCATGGCAATTTCTGTTCACACTGCTGCTAAAGCTTTGAAAGAACTCTAAATTTGTAAGCACAAGTCTGTAGCAGGAGGAAACTAGATGATACACCGGCTGTCAGAATTAAATCATAGAAGATCTGCTGTAAAGAATATAGGAATGAAGCACATGCTTAAAAGCCATCTGAACTTTAGTATAAGACTTGTACTCGCCAAATTTGACTGTATACTACGAGATCTGCGGGAAGCCAATGGTTTAAAGGATAATTCAGCTAGGTCAACTGCGGTTTCATGAAAGTATATACATATGTTTGCTAATACATGTATATTTTCCGCCATTGCACTTCTTTCTAAGCTAAATTTTCCAGCATTTTCCGTATCAAATTCCTTCCTGTCCAATATTCTTTGTTTTTTGACTGTTATGGCGTTAGATAACAATCAACTTCTGTCTATTAAATGCGTTAACTTCATTGCATACCTATAAAAATTTAGATCAGAAAAAAGTATTTTTTATGTTATTAGGTGGAAAAAGAGTTGGCAAACATTCTTTTAGTTTTTTTTTTTTTATTACAGCTCTTTTCGGCAAAACAGTTAATAAACATTCCTTCAGCTTTTTTTTTTTTGTTGCTGTTGTCATTTTCTGGTTCAGACACCTGCCAAAAATCTAATGATGCAGCCGCTGCTGGTAGTTCTGAAGAGGAAAAAAAAAACTTGTAATAAAAATCATAACAGCAATCTAAATGAAGTTTGTAGCAAGAAGAGAAAAAAGTATTTTACCGTTTACTTTCAATTTTATATTCTTTCTTTCACACAACTTTTTATTTTTTATTTCTTTACCTGTTAATTTTTTAAAGAATTTACAGCCATATCGAAACACTAAACACCTTAGTTTTATTTATCATTTTGATTCATCTACAGATTTAAAAGGTATTTAAAACCACGAAATAAAAAGTCATCCAATATGGAAATACGAAAAAGTTGGCCAAAAAAAACAGGTAAAACAATAACGGGAAAAACCAAGTTTATTCACTATAAACTATTATTATCAGTAATAGTAATTTATATAGTTATAAGGATTACTTACCAATATCTGTTACACTGTATCAGTGGTATTATCGTTATCGTTACAAAAATACAATTTTTTTTCAACGTTTTTTCATATATCTCATCATATCAGTCTTCTCACATACTTTTCGTTAAGTTCTTCAATTTTGCACCGTTTCTCAACCAAATAAACAGAAAAAAAAAACAATTTTTACAGTTTAAGACAAACAATAAATAAACATCAGCCAAATTCAGAAATAATAAGTAAAATAAGCAGAAAAAAATTTGTTTTTAATTTGCAATACCGAAGCAGCTCAATAAAATATTGATAGTGCTTTGAAAAATCGAGTTCTGTTGTGAAAGAAAAAAAAA